CCGCCCCGCCCCGCCCGCTGCCCTCACACGGCCCCGCCCACCCTCGCGCGCAACCGCACTGGGATCAGCGCATGCTCCCAAATTCCATTTCTATTGGGCGAGAGGAGGAGGGCGGGGCTAACATGCTATAAATTAGAGCGCGGCGAATTCTGGGTCTTTCTTTCGGCGTGGCCAGCAAGGTGAGCGGGATGGTGGACATGGAGTGGAGCGGGCGGGCGGTGAGGCCGGGCCGCGGTGATGTCTTTTGACACGTGTTAGACTGCTGACATGCATGAAGCAAAACTACTGCTGAGCGCCCCGGCTGCGTCCACCCTGCGGGGCGGCCGGGGTGTACCGCATCAATAACCCCCCCTTTTCTCTTGGTGTTCTGCAGGGCCCGTGTGACGACCGGCGGCAGGGAGCGGCGGTAAATAAGCTCGTAAATAAGCTCGTAAATAAAGTTTGTTTCACCCAGAACGTGTCTGACTGGTTCTTTGCGCGAGCCCGCACTGCCTTTGACCCGGCGGTGCCCGCCTGGCGCCGTCGGCCAAGCAGCGGTGCTACAGCAAAGCTTGTTCATAACTGGCGCTGCTCGGCGCGACCCGGGCGGCGCTTTTAAAAACAAGTGACATTTGTTGGCGAGTGCGTGTCACCCTCGCGGGGCCACCGCTGCGGGTGCGGGTGCGGATGCCGCTGCCTTCCCTTCCTGCAAGGCGAGCCCGGCCGGAGGGCGGTGCCAGCGCCGAAGCAGAGCCGGGTCCTTCACCCCGGTTCAGTGCGATGGAACCGAACCCAGCCGAGGTGATGGCTGGAGTTCTCCTTTAGTAGTTAAGGGTTCAGTTGTAAAAAAGGGCTTTGAAGAAAGGAACAGAAGTCGTGGCATTCCTGCCTGGCTGTTGCAGGAGGTGGAGCAGCTGGATGAATCGGCTGGGAGGCGGGAGAAATGCATCCAGGGCTGGTGGTCACCCCTGGACGTGGTGCAAAACAAAAGACTGCCCTGGCTAAGCTGCAGCCTTTTAAAGGGCCGCTCTTTATTTTTTGTTAATACCGGCAAGTGTTTGAGCATTTTCTGTTAATACAAAAGATCTGTAATCATACAGGAATAGGACAGACAGTCTGACTAGACTAAGGGATAATTAAGCTCCCAGAGGCTCTGAAAGGTGGCAGAAGTGAATGTGTGTCAGCTCTGTTCTGTAACTCCTGGTAATTTTTCACAGTTTTACCAGATAGGCAAACATGCTCTTAAAGCATATTCCTCATATGAATACTAACTTGCTGTGGTAAAACTCAGGTTCGTGACAGTAAAATTAAATTTAGCTTTTCCTTTTAGAGCTCAGCACTAGTTAGCCCTGAAACTGTCATGCCACAACCAGAAGGTACGTGTATATAAAAGTGTGCAAAGCATAGGGCACACTCATATTAGGAAGCTGCCTTTCTAATGAGGTTTTAAAAACAACTTGCACTAGAGAGTGGCTAAGTGCTGTAGAAATAAAATTTACTGAAGTGTTTGACATGGGATAAATTTATTTAATAAAACAAAGCAAGCAGATTGTAGTTACCCACAGTTCATGAAGTGCAATATGACAATCTTGTGTAATAAGTCTAAATCTGTTTACACATTAGTGCATCTAGTCCTTTGACTTTAGTTATTGCACATAGAAATTAACTCATATAAAAGACCTGCGTACAAGACATGCAGACTTCATGAAAGGCAAATAATGCCTACAGAATCAGCAAACCCCAGAATATACACAGCCTGGAATGGTCAAGGAGGAGTTCAGGTAACAAATATAACTACTAATATTTCAATTAAAGGTAACCAAAATAGGTGTTCAAATATAGAATTAATTTTAAATATATTAAATGCTAGTTTTCTTTTGTTTCAGGCAAGGTGCTGTTTAAAAAACCTTCAATATAATAGTTTCATTTAGAGATGGTAAATCATCAAGTTATACATGGAAGTTTTGATTTACATCAAATGTGACAACACAACGTACAAAAAATTTCTTAAAAAATTACTTGGAAAAAAAAAGAAAATCATGTTATAAAAGGAGAGCCAAAACTCACCTTTGTAAACTAAAACAGTTTCTGACATCCATGAACAGTTGGCAACACTGAGTATCAGAAAAATATTACGTGTTAAGGAGTGGATATGTAGTGTTCAAACCTTGAATTTACTGCATACATTTAGCCTTGATTCATTACATCTGACAAATAAAAGGCAGTTCCCCCTTCCCCTTTAGTTTTGGCCACTAATTAGCAGAAAGTCTTTAATCATAATCAGCTCAAACAACTGCAATGCTTGAATTTCTATGCCACAAAGGCCAAGAAACCAATGCATGGGGGTCAAAATCTGTCAGGCACAGCTGGTTCCAGAAGCACCAGGTGCTGTAACTGAGGATCTGGGCCCATGCTTTGGCTATAAACACAGTGCAATGGAAAAGACTCACAGCAACAAATTCCTGTCAGCAAGAACTCGGTGTTTCATCACAGCAAGAGGCTCTATGCACAGTTAGGTCACTACTCCTGGAGATGTGCAGTGTTGACACTTGGTGTGTGTGCTCATGTCTCTATAAACATTCAGAATTAATCAGGAACCAAGGTGATTGTACCTCACTATAAGGCGGCTTGCTATGGTTTGGTCTCATGGCTTTACCAACTTTTTTCTTCATTTACAATAATCTGACAGTCCCACCTTCACTGATAGTTGTGTTGTTTTATGGCTAATTGCTTCCCCAAAAAAATGACACGTTTTGTATGAAAAAAAGTAATGTGTATACAGCACACTGAATCACAATATTACCTATACATCCAATTTACATTCTTTTATCCTGAAAGCATTTCATATTTTGATTGCTTGACACAAGCTATTGACTGCAGAAGTGAAAGAACATAAAACAGTTCATTCTACACCTCCAACTGCCTGAGAAAGAAAAATATTCTTCCAGTTTTATAAATTCATTCCTTATTTAGGATTTTTTCCATTTGGCACGCAGTTCCTTTGCTGCCAAACAACTTTTCAATGCTTTAATGCACATTAACATAGCATGAAAACAAGCTAAACAAAAGGTGCATCAACAAGCTCCTTGATCTGTTACATTTGAGTTCCTCCTCCCTCCCCACAAAGAACAGGTCACCTCAGCCTCCCAGTTAAAATCCTGATGGCAGCCAGTACAAAAATAAATCAACGGCTTAATGGAATGGAACTTCATGGAGCTGAAGTACACGGGAACAATAACCAGGCAAGTGAGCACACAGGAACAGGGACAGGCAGTCCTTGGGAGGGGGGAGAGTGGCACAAGTTAAGGATGAGAACTACAGCACAGTTTATAAAACCATGAGAGTAACTTTTATAATACTGTAAACTGCAAGAGTTTTCACATGTCATGGTTGATCAGAGGCCTCCGTGCTCAGATCTTGAGGAGGGCACGTGGAGGAGCGGGGATCCATGGCTGAGTGCATTAAAGGAATATAGACATCATCCATGTTTGGCATGACAAAGATTTTCTGGGAAAAAGATGCAATGAAATGAAGTTACATATATCACTTGAAACCTTAGTTTTCCAATTTTAGTTTAAAAATACAACACATTTACAGAGAAAAGGTTCTCAAGCTAAGCATTGTTTGAGTCAGTGCAGTGACCATTAACTGAAACCACTTGATTGTGTTGCAGTTGTAAATGAAACTCAGAAATACGAATATCTCTGAATATTTCATTCAATTAAAATGGCACTACAGGAAACATCACCAACTTTTCCTAACTGCTTTCTCAGCTCTAATCCATCCATATAGTTTCAAAATGCACTTTTAGTAAAATAATTGGTTTTGATTTCTGGTTGATTGTATAGGCTGGGGTCCAGGATCAAGCTGGCCACTGTTCCTATCCTACATGTATTTGGAGGAGGCTTCTTCCTTTTTGCACTATGATCAACGTGATTTTTTAAAAATTACTTTAAAGGAAGCAGTAAGGGAAGTAGTGCCCTATCTGTTCTTAATTTTAGGCAACAGTTTGGCCCCCATCACCTAAGAACATGTAGGATCATGTTCTTTTTTGAGTACTACACCTTTTACCATGGTACCTATTTCAAAGAGATGTAATTTTCATCTCTAAAACAGATTTCCACCCAGGTCTACACATGACTCTTAAGACCATCCCAGCAGTCAGTTTCAGCTGAGTTCTCAACATCCATCCCACAGGTTGGGAGCAGTGGAGGACATGACTAGTTATAAATGAAATAGGGGACATACAAAAATTAAACACCCCACCCCTTTACATGACCAAAACTATCATCACTGAAAGGAGAACGTAAAGAAAACACACCTGGAACTCCTGTTCCAGTTTCCTTGCTATCCAGTCCGTTACATGAACCAGAGTCACTTCTCTCTCCCCAAGTTTTGGCCGCGCTTTTAACTCCAGGTAGGGAGGCCTTCGGAAGCCGTACCTTGGGAGAGAACACAGAGCAGGATTTATTACACACCCCCCAACAAAGTAAATATTTAAACCTGTAACAATTTTCTCTTAATAACAGTTCCTAATCTCAGTTACAATTAATTTGTACTGCACCTTGCCCAGAACCCCCTTGAGCCAGGCTTTACCTTTTTTCTTTGCTTCAACCCCTCATGTAGCACACCTGAAACACTGCTCAGCTCTGCTTTGAGCTCCTCTTACCATATTCTGTCAGTGGGTGGAGGTGGAATGTTAATCACTAGTGTTCCTCTGCACTCCTGTACTTCAACTGTTAGCAGCAATGGAGTATTGGAGACCTCTTCAATTTTCTTCTTAATAAACTCAGTCTCTGTTGCCTTCTGAAAGTATTTTGACTTTGTAATTTTATCCACAATTCTCATGATTTTACTTGTCCGATGTCCTCCAACATACCTTTAGATAGAGAACAGGAAAAGGACATCAAGATCATTTTCTTAAACCTATTTGCTAAGACATTCATGGATTTTCTATTAAATCATTGAAGTTTTTGATATAAAAATTCTGAACAGATACATGGCCAAGCAGTACATCCTAGTGCCTGCACCCTGCAGCTGTACTCTGTCAGCTCCAAGTGTCTGGCACAAACTCTGTTCAGTCTGAGCACTCCTTCCCAGATGGCATTGGAAACAGAACATTCTTTAAAACTGCAAATACATTTAGATCATTTACGCCAGAAAGCTGGCATGAGAAGTGACAACTTGTCTACTACCATTCCAAAAAAACCGTTGAGACACTGATGCACCAAGATGTGCACAAATCATCAGCATAGAAGGCCCAACCATTGTGTCTAATTATTTAACTGTGTGGGCTGAACAAAAATGGTTTAATTTTAAGGTACTGTAGCATTTATGAGTATAAGGACACTGAAAAAGAAAGGAAAATAGTTTTGGCAGTAGGTGGAATGATATTCCAAAAATGGTTAACTGTGTCTGCAGAAAGTGGGTTTTTCCTGGCAATTGTGTCAGACAGCATTCCTGGCTTTTGAAACAGATGCTTTAAGGGCTGAATATGTCTTTTCTTACCCCTATCTCACGTTGGAAATACACACTCCAAAAATAGCACATTTGGTATTTTCCACACACAATATATCATGTCTAATTGTGGCTCTTGGTGTTACACAGCAGAGATAACCCTCCTAAGGAAATGACATTTTCCTATCCAGGGAAAAAAATAAAAATTATTCCTACTCAAACTTTTACAGTTTTGTCCTTAGCACAACCTAAGACAAAAACCTGTTCAACTGATATAAAAAGGGTAAATAAATTTCAACTTTGAGATTTTATACTAGCTGTATCTTTACCCAGAGAAAGAAGTTATTCTTCCATCAGATTCTATAGTGGTAGTAATGCAGATTTTTATTAGGTATAAGAATTTTTTTTCAGTATTTTACATTAAGATTCTTCATTCTCCCTCTTTGTCCTCTTGATAAAGAGTTCTTTATATGATCTATGAATTTCAAGAAGATACGAAATGCATCAATTGCAGTAATTCAAACAATTCTTCACACAATTTTCAAATGTGTTCTTTTCAAATGTGTTCAGGAGTAAAATACTAAAATTCTCTGGGACATTTTGATTAAGTCATGAGTCTTCTGGTATATTCACTGTAAAAATCACCTAGATATGTTCAGACATAGAAAACATTGTGATTGGCTCAGACATTCTGGGCTCAGACATTCAGCTTTCTCATTGCATGGCATGACTGCAATCAGATGCAGAAAGCAAAAAATCAGAGCCGCAGCCAAAACAAGGAACGACTGTGGCATCACTGATGTTGGGAAATTTTCTCTGAAATCCATCTGCAGCATCAGAGGGCAGTATTGCACAACCCAGACACACAAAGTCCTCAAGGGAAAAAAAAAACAACCAAAACCACAAAACTGAGCAAGACAAACAGGTTCGAGAAACAGTTGTTTTCTTAAAGAAAAGGAAATGGAACACTGGAAATAAGGGATTGGCAGGATCAGCACAGGGGTAACACTGCATGGAAAGGGTTTCAGGTTTCCACACAAGATCCTGTTCTTGGCTCTGCCACCAGGCAGGACACGCTGGGGAAGGTCCCCAGAGCTTCTCTGGCCTCCCAACAATCCAGCAGAGAAGGGACTGGGAGGTGCCCAGGGCAGCTGGGAGCAGTCCCTGCAGGGCTGGGGTGAGCAGGGCTCCCCTGCTGCCCTGGGAACGGGCCACTGGGGTTCCTTCACTGCTTGGACAGATTCACACTCTGCCGTTCTGGGGGACAAAGAGCATCACAGCACTGGCACCAGCTATCAGGTGTGGGGGCAGGGAAGGATTAAACAGCTCACCCTTCTCCTCCTGCAGTCACCTGCTTCTCTCCTGCCAGCTCAGGAGCATCATCTTCCTCCGAGGAGCCGGCGCTGGAGGATTCCTCATCGCTGTCTGCAAGACAATACGCCCTTGGCCTGAAACTGAAACAATGCAATTTCCAGGTCAAATATAATATCCTTAAATAGCTATTCATCCTGTACAGCTTTGGCTGACATGACAGGTTTCTGAACTTCCCCTCCCCTCTCTTATAAATGCTATCTAAAAGAACAAAACCAAAACTCTGGCAGAACCAGCTTTCAAAACAGAAATCTGTTTTCCCCAGTGGAACATAATCCTTCATGAAAGAGGCAGGCATAGGGGTGGCTGTTCTATATATTCAAATCAAATGTGGAGATTATTCAAAATACATTTGGAAGCATCTCTGTTGCTGCTCATGGTTTTCCATGAGTTGAGCGGAATTAGGATTGGATAAACCATTTTGTTTGAATGTCGTGGGGAAAAAAGTGAAGTAATAAACAAGTGTTGCCCTTTGGATACAAAATACCCCACAGTAGTAACTAATTCCCAGACTTAAACTGTGGAAGATTTTATGCACATAATCACAAGAAAAATTTTAAATCTTTTAAACGGATTTAAAGGAGAGTAGGATACAGTGGATACACTTCAGAATTAACAGATCTCTACTGAAAGCAGTAACTTGAAACAGTTACACAACACAGGCTTCAAAAGCATATGGCTTTAGCCCTAGGGACTATACCCATGAATATAATACTCTACAGCATGTTCAGAATACACTTTATATCTGTGTCTTCTTTTTTTGTGTGTGTGTGTGTTCTTGGAAATGCATTTGAAGCATTAATAACCTCACACTGGGCACGGACTGAGGCCACTGCCTGTTACACTGCACACAGAACAAACTGGTGGATGCTGCATGAAGTCCTAATGTAAGGGACAGTTCAGGTGCAGCTCACAAGGCACAAGACTCCTTCCCCACTGGAGCATTAATCCCAGGACCTGTCCACACTGAAGCATTTCCTACCCAGTCTATGGAATCAGAACTGCAAACCTTTTCCTATCCAAAGCAGCATTTTGTACCTGCAGAGGAGGGAAGGAGCAAACCAAATTGAGCCACCTCCCCGAGGATGTGGGGGTGGTGGGTGGTGCCTGTCACTGCCCCAAATAGCAAGGCTGGAGCTGTTCCTCACAGAAATTCACATTTTTAGGTCAGATTCAAATTGCACATTTTCCATCAGGGTGTGACCTCATGTCTCTTTCCTGTTCACGTTGTAGCATCCAGCTCCAAGCCTGCTCAGGGCATTCTCAGGTCTTTCAAAGGTGTCACCTTCTTACAAGAAGGTGTTTTATTTCCTAGTTGAAGGGGTCCTCTGAAGTGCCTCACAAGCACCAAGTGGCTCAGACCACAGGATTTCCTCGCATTAAACAAAGCAACAATAAATACACTTGAGTGAGATTTCAGGGGAGCTGTGTATACAATGGACCATTTATATGACACAAACATTGGAAGAAAAAAATCACTTTGGAGCTACTGTATTGTTCCTGTAAAGATTGCACAATATTTTATGAATTGCCATTTGTCAGTTTGTTTCTATGTAGTTCAACAAAGCCAAAAGAAGCTGCAGTAGTTTTGAGTTAACCTGCCTGCTTTTGCCTCATCTGTTTAGCAGAATCTGTAATGTATTACTTTCATAAAATTGGCAATTAAATAATTTCCTACCCTTTCTGAGAGCAGCATTTTCCTGAGAGGGCGTGCAAGACAGCATTACCAGACTGTGTCTCAGCACACTTCACTTCTATTTCAAACAGCAAGTGCAACAGTGACCCATTTGTCTTGCTTTACACTGACAACAGCCACAGACAGTTAAACCCGGAGCTGTTTCCCCCCTCCTCTCTCTGGATGAGTAGGTGCCTTTCTCACACCACTCTGTGGTTACTGCATCTCAAGAGATGGTTTGTTCTGAGCTCCTAAGGGCCAGAAATGAGCTCAGCAACCAACACTCATCACTTACTGACAACGTGACCATGGATGCAAACACATGCAGAGTAATTTGATTTGTCACTGCAATTGTCAACTGACAATTTTAAAAAGCCAGTAGTATTAAAATTAACTAACACATTGGAAGGCATAGATGAGAATCAAACTGTTATATACTTTTCCTTAATTTATTTAATAGCCATTTTGTTCAAGGAAAAAAACCAAACAAATAACAAAAAAACCCTCATCCAACTAGAATACATTAGACTGCTCTTTATGTAAAGCTGCTACCTGGCCCTGAGCTTTGAAACATCCCAGCCCTGTGCAGGGAGCAATGCAGTTAAAGCTGATACTTTCAAGTAATTGGTTGCTTGGCTACAGGCACTTAAATCTGCCTTGCTGGGGCCTATTGCTCAGCCAGCAACAACCTGATTTTTATATATGAATCACAGTGTTCACTAATTATTTCTGAGGCTGTTCCTGCACTGAACAGATATGAAAATACACAAAGAAAATCCTGAAGGGGTGGGGAAGAAAAGCAAGAATTGGATTTGTATAGACATTTCCTTCTCTATCCCCCACTTTTTGGGAAGGCAGGATTAAAGGGATTTTGAAAAATTCACACCTACCAGTTATAGTGATGTAAATTCAGAAATATTTATTTCAAGCAGTGACAACGAGAATCTAGGTCGATTTTAAATCCTCTGAATTTTTACCAGTGTATGAGATCATTCAGCCAATAGTTTTTTTCACATTTGTTTCCTTGGCATGACTTCACTGAAATATAGTGCTGCTGTAAGTATTACTTCTAGATATCTCAGAATAAATGGTCAGAGCTACGACATGAGTATACAAAGCATCTAGTATTTTAATTGTGAAAGACCATACTATTCTGTTCATAGCTAAACAAATGGCCAGATTTAGAGACTCTTTCCTTCATTTGTAGGCAGTGGTTGTACATTAAACCAGAGGCCACCTACTGTACAGGGCCTGCAGATTTCCTAAGTACAAAGAGAATATGGCACAAAATAATGGACTCCAAAACTAGGAGTGAATCCATCCAGGGATGGGTATTTGACAGGTGCCACTCTCTAGATTAATACAAATGGACAGATGGATGACATCCAAACATTGCAAAAATGAGAGGGAAAGCACAAATGTAAAGAAGGTAAGTTACTGTATGGTATCTGCTAATTAGTCCATTTACATAAGGCATTTCACACAGGCATAGCAGGCAAACAGAAGATGGCTATGAGGAAAAATAGAGACTAAAATAGGGATGTGATTACTCCCACGGTGCAATAAAGCTTTTGAAAAAGTATTTACATAACAGGGCCTGTTTGCCTTCCACGTTGTTTACTACTCCATGGTTTCCAGCTGCAGCTGTACCATGCTGCAGTAGCCTGTTATACCTGCCTATTTCTGCATGTGTGTATCTCCACTATTTGAGTTTTATCTGGCTAAACCCCAAATCAAGCCTAAGACAAAACTAAATTTTAGTCACAGGACATTTTAAAATCCAACTGAAATACATATATATATATATATATATATATACACACACACATATATATTTAAAAAAAGATACTTGTACCACAGAAGCCTTTTATTATTATCAATAGTGTAACCAAACAATAAAGTTGCAGAGAAAAGCCACGCTCCACACCCACTTGTATGAAACATCCCCAAAACTCCTTTCAATCTACTGCAGAGGCAGAGCTGCAAATACACAAGGAAAATCCCATTTTTCACAATGAAAGCACCATTGCCTTCCCTTACCCTTCCCTGCCGATGTCGCCAACCTTAAACGCTTCCCCAAGCGGCTCTTTACCAAGTTTGGTCAAGTTCATCTTGGTCTCCAGGGTCATTAGAAAAGATCCATTGTAGGACATTTCCAAATCAACCCATAGTCCTAAAATAAACAACAGAAAAGATGTCACTTGAAGAGCAACCACAAAGCAAGCTTTCTGATCACATTAAGCTCATGGAAGAAAGCCAGAGACAAATCTAAGCCACACTGAAAGGGTGAGTGCAGCTAATGGTCTAAAAAAAATACTGTGATTTACACACACCTAAACTGCTTAAGAGATGTGAAATGAGATAAAGGAAATAGAGCACCACGAGGGATTCAGTTCAAAACTATTTACAGCATTGCTCCAAGCCAAGCAGTAATGGGGACACTCCTCTACATCACTGACGCTGTCCAAGTGAAGCACAACTTGAAATCCCAGAGCAATATTGCTTCTCTCACACCACAACCTGCTGCCTCTTGTTTTCCCAGTGGTGTACTGAAGATCAATCACAAGGTTCCCTCAGTAACTGAGTTACAGGCATTCTTTTATGATTCAGTGTAAACAAAATCATTACTTAGACAATTCTAGATGTGCAGTACTACGTTAAATTCAACTGTCTGTGCAAATTATTTGCTTTTTGTAATCTTCAGAAGAATTGTCTTGGGAATACTTTAAGATTAGCTTCAGCCTTTTAAGTGACAACCTGCACCAAAGCTATAGGTGTTTGTCATCCAGAGGTTAAAAAACAGATGCCACTGAACACAGATCATATATCTTCCTTTTCCAGATATTGCAGCTGCACAAAACATTCCCTCACCAGTACCTGGCACATTAACCACTGGCCCATTCCACTTTTATTTACTTATTTGAAAGCAATTAAAGGTGAAAAAAACTGAAACCAGGACAAATGGTAACTACTCCTTTGTGTTTTATTGTTCTAGGAAAGTCACACTTTATCAGTTAAAGAACCATTGTTTCCTTTTCTGCAAAAACATATCCTTATCATAATCCCACCCACTTGTGGTAACAGAAATACAGGCAGCTCCCAAAGGCCTGGTCACTGGCACCCTGTGAGGTTACATGCTGAAAGCAGGATGAAGGCAAGCTGGTGCTTTACTAAGCCAAACAATTCTTTTCCAGCACATTTTTTTTCTAATGCTTCTAAAAACCTAACACAAGAACTCAAACACAAGCTTTTAAAGATTTTTTTCTCTTTACAGTAGGAAAGTATCAGTAAGATCATAAAAAACATGAAAACACCTTAACAGACTTTTTGGATAATCGAAGAGTCAGCAGAATTTAATCATCAATATAATTTTAACAGTAGATCAAATTAAGCAAAGGATGCCATTACTGAGAGGGAAAATTCCTTCTGAACAGAAAATGTTCATACACTTTTTCCAGAGGGAAAAAGGGAGGGAAGGGAGTGAAGAATTGGGTAGATGGTAAAATTTATTCCATTTTCTTGTTCCCTAGCCTTGACAGAATTACAGTAAAAGCCACAGCATGTGCTGTCATCCAAGCAGGACTGTATCAACAGAAACAAGGTTTTTCCCTAACATCGTCTGTTAACAAATTTAGTTAATTAGAGAGGGCATATAATAAAAAAAAAAGTATTTTCTTTGTAATCAAGCACTGGTAAAAAAAAAAAAAAAAGTATGGATGAAATAAAGCCCATCACAATTAGTAATGGTACTTTAAAGCCTCACAAAAGGCTACCTCAAGTATTTGCCTCAAACACTTACAAAAAAACCCCAAAAACTTAGAACCATTCATTCTGGATACTGCCCTGAAGCTCTAGGGTTTTGTTCCCCCACATTCCCCAATAAACCAGTTGTTTACCCACAGGTCAACTTAGCAAGAAATACATTTATTCTCATGAAAACAAGCTTTTCCAATTATCATCCCCTTGTTTATGTCCTTTTAAGTACAGTAAGACAACAAGTTATTCCAGTAATTACTCACTGCAAGCTCTTGAAAACCCTAAGAGTTCCCATGTCATTCAACAGTATGGGAGAAGTTAAAAGGATTAGAAATCCTACCATAAATGTTTGCTTGTCACAGTTCAACTGAACAAGAAATTGAAGGAACTAATTGATCTCATTGGTGTTTCAGCAATTAATTGAAGCCAAGTGTTCAGTGACTCCTAAATCCCATCTCACGACTTAGAACTACAGTCCTTGGTTACAAATGAAGTTATGAGAACAGAGAAAGGAATTCAAAAAATGTTTAAATCAAGGAAAAGGAAAACACACTGGCAAGGACCCTGAGAAGAATGCTTGATTAAAAAGAAATAAAAACACTTCACAAGCATCATACATGTAATGATTTTAAAAAGCTTTCCTTTGTTCTGTAACTCCAAGTAAAACTTCTACCAATGCTGCAACCACTTAATGGAGAACACTGGAGGATTCCTAAATACTTTGGAGAACCTGCTGTCACACAGGAAGCACAAGACAAGAAGCAGCAATATGCCTTAGTTCCCCAAATACTAACTGCATTCCAGCTTATTCTATCTATTCAACTCTTATTTCTCTTAAAAAGGCAGATTTTATTCCTCATGACAACCAAACAGTTTGCTCTTTTCAAACACGCTTTGTTTATAAAGCTCAGTGGAAAATATTCTTTGGAAAAGTTGAGAGCAAAGTACCCAGTGTTTTACAGATAAGGCTTTTCCCCAAAGATTTGCAAGTCTCAAGTAGATAAGGGCAAGCAATAGCATTTGGATACAACAGGCAGCATTAACTAATGTATGTCCAAGAGGATTTTAGTATTTCCCCAAGGTCTGTTTTGTTCAGTTTTATGAGGGAAAGGTTAGAATTTACTATCCTCATGCTTTCAATCAGCGATTTGAGTGGCACAAAGTTTTTATTATTAAAGTTTATTAATCTCCTCCTAAAGCCCATGCATCTGGTATTCTTGCAAAGGTCAGGTGACAATATGCCAAGTCTTCCAAGGAAATATTTCCCTTTGGACCAATTAGAAATTTCTCCACGTTGAGTGGAGAAACTCTGATGCAATTTGAAATTGAAGACTGCTCTGATTATCTTAGATGGCATCTAGCTCTCCTCAACATGTAGAACAAATGCTTTTGAAGCTAAAAAGCATTTCTCCAAGTTTCTCCTTCTTGCAAGACTACTTAAGTGACACGAGTATCCTCAAATACGTGACCACATGCAAGCCAGAGGGAATAGAAAACAAACAGCTCTAACTTATAAAGCAGCAGTATGAAAGGCATCCAGCTTTTTAAAAAAGCTGTATTTAATATTAAGGACATAAAATGATCCTGTATTTTGAAGTTTATTTTCACAACACCACTGTATCCTTGTTTTCCAAGTTATTACAACTATATTTTCTGAATCCCTGTTTTCAGAACAGGGCAGCTTCTCTTGGAGAGCCAAACTTGTTTTCTCCCATGGTACAGAATCAGATCTGTCTCAAGGAGATGGGCATTGCCCTCTGCAGTCCAGGGCAGTATCAGGTAAGTGTCCGCATCTCTGCTGCATGCAAATTTCAGTTTAGTTCAGTAATTATTTCCTGTGGAAAGACATGATCACAATTACATTTACACTACATTTACACCTAGCCTGAGATAAAGACCCCTGAGTATCTCAGAAAAAGCTCCTATTACATGTACCTAAAACATACAAAAGATAAACACATCAACGACACAAAGGCAATACCAGCAGGTTTTTTAGGTTGTTTTTTTTTTACCTCTGTGATCAACAGAGGGTTTGAAGGCTTGAAGGATCTTGGGCACTGCTATCCCCATGTCAAGCTCAGTCAGAGTCAGCTCATTCATGAAGTAGGGCAGCTAAAAGAAAAGCATATAAAAAAATCAAATACATATTATGGAACTAAACATCAGTTTCCTGAGAGAAGAAAGCTCATTAAACCTAAGAAATGGACTGAGCTGAAATGTGACCACTGAAAGAACATAAATATAATTACACAAATTTCTTACTATTCTAACATTTCACAGTTGCCAGTTTCAAAACTTTTTAGGGAGAGATTAGACATCTGAACTTGTTTTTAAAATTATGTTGAAGTTTAGATGCTGACCTTAAACCACCTGCATGCTTTTTAGTCAAAATATGTAAAAAGCTCAAGAATGAAGTGTAAATCCTATTTCACTGTGAATAAAAATCAAAGACTTCTTTTCATTTTAACCACAGTCATACATTTTATCATTGATGTTTTATCAGTGTCTCAGCTTCTTTCATCTTTGACAAATTCTTTCATAGAAAATTACCTTTTAAATCTGTATCATAGTTTTAGTAAAACAGAGGCACAACTTCATGATTTAGGTATCTATTCACTTAAGTATTTCTAATTGACAGAAAACATATCTCTGTGAATAGACACTGCTTTAACACATCAAAAATACATCCAGTCCCCATTCCCAGTCCTCACACTTAAGAAGTTACCAGTGAGATGTCTGGGTACCCTGCTGTCACAATTGTGGAAGCAGACAGGCAGAATCAGGCTACTGGTTATTTCCCAAAGCAAAGGCAGCACTATCTCACAGCTGGTGCTGGCAGCTAAATTCCTGAGCTTTCCTCAGCAAGACAAAAAACTTCCTTTGCTTTTAGAAACAGGCAAACTCCTCCCAAACATCAGGAGCTGAAGGCCTGTGATGAAGTGCTGCTGTTCAGAAGGGTTACAGAAGGCAAGGGGAAGACTGAGAAGTCACTCAAAAGCATCACTCCTCCCTTCACCCTTGAGATGGTGCAGCTGATGGAAGCTGTGTCCTGTCACCCTACAGAGCTTTTTCCATAACTATTGCTCCCTCTGACCACCTGCAAGTAGTTTGTGTCTGAAGTTAACAGGAACACATTACAGTTGTGGTTCCCTGATGTCCTCCACCTTAAAAGCAGATTTCCTCATTTATATGCAGTTCTATTCATCCCTGATGTAAATAGAATAATACTTGAATTTTTACATAAAAACTTGACAGATACAAATAGCTAATCCAGCTGCAGCTCATTTTAAACAGAAGTAGCAAAGTTGACATGCTGAGATCCATCAGAAACTGAACTGCCATTCTGGAGCACATTTACTGTCTTTTACATGTAAGTGTGAAATAAGTCTTTCTTGTACTATTTTAAAACTCAAAGACTATGTGTTTCACTTCCTTCACAAGGAGTGTAAGTGTCCAGATCAGGTACCTTTATTTTGCTAAGTTTCATTTGGATCTTCTTTGACACTATATCAGACCAATACTTCTCTCCTAAAAAATCCCAAAATATTCTTCCAAGCAGAGCATTCACCCAGGCCTCCTGTTCTTCTTCAGCTTCCACGCTGGCATCTGGCAACTGAAAACATAAAGCAGGTTATTCAGCTCCATAAATTTTATAAAATAAGGGTAGAAAAGGCCTGATTGATATGGGAAGTTCAGTGTTAAGAGCCTAGGTCAGCCCAGAACACCAAATGTTCAGCACAGGGAGCACTTTACAAACGCATCAGCCAGGCTGCCACGAGCCTGTCATCATCCTGACATGCAGCAGAGGGAATGAGACCACACAGATATAGATTGACCTCTGGCAATGAAATGAGAAAGTTGTATGTAATTTAACCTCTGGCAGAAAAAGCAGATAAAACCAGAGTGGGCAGACTTATAAATGTGTTTGCAAGTAAGAGATATTCTCTCTTGCCAGTCAGATCTGGAAGAACAGGTATTCCACTCTTTGTTTCATAAAAAAATTGGAAAGCAAGACCCAACCATACATCTTTAAATCCAGTTCAGAAACACCATAAATAGACGATAAACACAGCACAGAGAATCACACTCCTTCTTCCAGAGTTTGCATATAGGATTCAGGAAACAATATTGTTCCCTCTGCTGCATTAAAGGTTCTGTTTACAGTGCAAGAGAATTCTGTCTTGGTTTCCTTGAGAACCATTTTGAAACACCTGGAAATATTATACATTCAGATGCTGCATCACTGACTACATACACAGAAGCCAAAGCAGCTGAAATAATTTTGGGTGTGTACACATGCTACCATGAAATAACAGGAAGTTTCCATGAAAGAAACACAACACATTAAGTGCCCGCAACGGCAGAAGAATTCACCACCCTACATTATTCCAGGCAGAACTCCTGGAGCTAGCAGAAAGGCAGTGCTTTCTAAGACAGGCAGGTAGATGCTGCACTCTGAACATCATCTCTTGGCAGCTTCTGCTTGCAAGGGCTGCAGCCTGGCTCTGCCAGGACGGCTGGGTGAGGAGCCTCTGCTGTGACGCAGGTTCCCTGCCAGCACTGCTCATCTATTTATAGAATGACTTCTGACACGTGCCAGATCCAGCAGCAAATCCATCACAGCTTCAGGAGTGACTGGGGGCTAGAATATGTTCTCCTGGTGGAACACAGGATGTGTTTATTCATACATTACACTATGGCCTCCTATTCCCTTTTCTGGGTATTGTATGAAAGTCTGGAAACAAAGATGCATGATATGAACTACATATTTTAAACAAACAGTGGTCATGCTTAACATGAAAGATGTGTTTATTATGAGTGTTGTACTTAGTATTAAGGTTCTGTTTACTGACAGTGACTCAAATGCAGTCCAGGAGGCCAAAGGATGAATAAGAGCTATAGACACTTCATTATTCCTATGGAGCACAAATATTACCTTTTTCACAGCTGTAGGGCTGCTGTCTGCACTGAGGACTGGACTACCTGAAGGGCTTTTCTTTTCTTGTGGAATACACTTTGCCATATAAATATTGTAGTCCAGAAGCATTTTCTGCCTCACGTTGCCAGCCAGGTCCTTATGCTTTGGCTGGGATGTGATTTCTTCTGTACTCCCCTTGCTGCTGCTCCGGCTGTGTGTGAGAACTCCAGACTGACTATCAGCTTTACTGTGTGCTGGCAGCACCCCTAAAATTCAAAGGAATAATACCTGTTCAACAGAGAATAAATCTAACAGCCAAATACCACAGTGTATCATCAAACTTTAAAGGAAGACATTTATTCCACAGATATTCCTCCTGAAAAAAGACCAGCGTGGTGCTTTCTTATTTTAAAGGCTAAAAGTAAAATCTACTGCTGTGTGTTTAGGAGGTCCTAAACCCAAATTAGCCAGGAATTGCTATGATTCAGCACTCAGCAGGGTGTAGGACTGGAGGAGTCAGCTGATCAATAGCAAATTTAAATATGGACACTCACGTATGTGCAACACATGGCAGAATTCCCAACAGCCCTGCTGAGGAATGCCTAAAATAAAAGTCAGGTGATTGAAATGCACCTATGACTAAAGTATTTTTTTCCTACTCTAATTATAGGCTGTTACAACTAGAAGGACTGTCAAAAGTATGTAACTATTAGAATTTTAATTAGCTATTAATTTTGCATTGCATTTCAAGAAGTTATGTGCCAGAAACAATAATGTTAACTGATTTTTAAAAAGCTTCTCAGAGAATAAAGACAGAAAAGCATGAGTCATTCAGATTTAAAACTGTATCAGAGGATAGGTTTAAATTTATATTCCAAACAACTGATCAATACTATTGTCTAATGTTTGTTGGTTCAGATATATACATCTATTCATATATGTATTAGTGCAGGAACAGAGAAATGTGCTTTCTTGTGACACTAACCCATGAGAAAGTTCTATCCTTTACAGGAGACTCAAGTGGAAGGAAGGATGGAGGAGGAAAAACTGGTAATGAGAGAACTGAGTCTAATATTGCAAATGTTGACATCAGTTCCAACATACAGAAAAAGAAGAGACTGAATAATTAATCTTTACAAATATGACAAGAGTTATTGCAGCCACTGAAAAACTGTGTATTCAAATAAAATAGTCTAAAAATACTAATAATATTTGAAAGCACGGAGTCAAGAAGGAAAAAAGTGGAAGGTAAGGTGGCAATAAGAGGCCAAGGAAAGGACAGAAGTATCTTTGGTATTATTATTTTTTGCTTGTAAAGATCACTGTGGCACCACCATAATGTAACTTTGCTTTGTTCCTTTTAACAAACTTCTACAAGAATACAAAATCTGAGTACCTGGCTTGCTCCCACACAAACTGGGGAGCTTCTTCACTTCAGACTTGAGCTTTGAAGCGAGAAGGAACCTTCTGAACCACTCCTCCTTCTCCCTACCCGTCCTTCCAAAGAGATAAAGCACCTGATCCTTTTGGCAAGTGTACTTCACTCCATCCTGAGGTTTCTTGGATTCCTCATTGTTTGAGTCCACTTTTTCAGCTGGTAACTTTTCCTCTGCAGTTTCCTTCTCAGTCTGGGCCTTGGCCATGAAGTCATCCTGTTTGCCAAGTTCAATGCAAATAGGGTATTTCTTATTCCAAATTCGTTTCCGTGCCAGGCTCTTGGGAACCAGGGAAATCTGAAGGATACATGAAAGGGTTAAGTGAATTGATTTTTCACTTGTATCCTCTATGTTTCTATACTCAAGTAAAGAACACAGGAATGCAAGAGAGAAAGATCCCACACTGGATCTGTCAGTTTAACTGACTCAAAATTGCTGGTGGATGTCCAACCACTGCTATCACTAAGTCTTTGGTGAGCCAAACCTTGGAATTAAAAAAAAAAGACATTTAAGCAGATTATACCACGTGGATTAGAAACTCTGTTTTCATTTAAATGATCCTATTCTCATGGATCTGCAGAAAAAACTGAAAAATCAAGAATTGTATTTCTGGGACCATGGGGAGATAAATAGATAAGATACAATAATCAGAGTCCAAACTGAGTTTTGAACATAACTTTTCATGCCCACCTTACTAAATTGAGCATCTGAACTTGGTGACAGCCACATCAAATACATAAGAGTCAAGCCATAAGACTGATTTGCAGATAATTATATCCTAAATTCAGTATATTTATATCAAATTAAGACAATGCTAGTAATTAGAAGAGTGGTTTAAAAAAAGAGTTAAAAATTCTTATGTGGGGTCTAAACTCAACAGTGTTCTCCAAAAACTGTGGGCAAACACCTTGAGGAACAGGCATCATTTGTTAATTACAGTCAGGGCACTTGGCACTTCTGTCATCAACTGGGGCTGGCTGGGGGGAAGTACTGGAAATTTTCTAAGATACCATGGGGCACCACCATCAGTCAAATGCTCCTGCAGGACACGACAGCTTTGCTTGTCTTCATGGTGGGAAAACAAATCTGCAAAAGGCAGGAATCTAAGTTTTTGCTTTATCCTTTTCACTATCTTCCTTTAATGGAAGGCAGAGCTGACAGCATGCTCCTTTCCCACAGAGTCTCAGAGGAAAGGGAGTTTTTCCTCACTGTTGCCTTGGTCCCTCTCTCCCTCTCACTTCCAGTCAAGTGAAGCGTGGTTTCCTCCTACAGCTGTACTGCCAAGGCCCTCGACTGATGCAGTACATTAAAAAAATCCATTCCCTTAATAATTAGGTATTGATGTATTATTTAAAACAATGCCAATGGAATCAACTTCACGTGGCAACTCTTGACATATTTGAGGGAGGCAAACAACACGTAGGAAAACTGTCCTGGCATTATTGTTGATACACTCTTCCAGCTGCAAAAATCCCCATCTCCTTCCCTGGACTGGGGGTACCTAGAGCAGGTCACATTCCAGACTCTCCTCTTTCACATTCACATATGAGGTGCATTCCCTCTTGGAGTGAAAGGCAAATGTTGTCTCAGCTACCTTGGGGTACAGACAACCACCAAAGAAGAGGCATTTTGGTGTAACCTTCAGAACAGCCCCACAGTCATCTCATGCATTGGGAACAAATCTCAGCGCTCTCGTGAGTTAACTCTGCTCTCAACTGCCACAGAAAAATCATGCCTTTCCCTTATTGTGCAAATATGTACTTTCTTCCAAATCCTGCTCAATCTTCCTCCCCAGCACAATCTTTTGAAAGTTAGTCATGACAACAGTTTTGTTTAAATAATGACAGAATGTGAAAATAGAGGAATGAAAAAAACTTCAAACTTAAAAAGAATTTGCAAAGTATTCTTTGTTAAAATCAGATATAAGTAAGATACTCACCTTGCTGTCTGTTAGTTCATAAATTTTTTGACTGACATATGTGACTTCAGGCTTTGGCTCATTGTACACAGCTCTTCTAGAAATATTTTTATTGGGTTTTGAAAGTCGTAGGGTACTGCCTTCAAGTCGCACATAGACAGAGTGAGTCAATGTAGCATGGTATGTTTCTGGATCATAATTATAAATTTCATTCATCCATCCCTAGAGAAGAAGACACTGTTAACAGGCTTTTAAGCTGCTAGAAAACAAAGTACATATACCTAAAAAACTTTAAATTATTATCCAAGCTTTTGCCAAAGTCGTTTCACTTAGTGCACAAACAGAACGAGGCAATAAATGCTCTAAATGCACCAAACCAACAGAGACATGGATGAGATCTCAAGCACATGGGGTGTTTTTTCTGACTCACAGTCACTTTGTTTATGTAGCACAGGGTGCTCCCACCTCATCCCCAGGACCACGGTGGGATCTGCAGATGCAGGATGCCAGGAAGAGCCATGGGGAGGGAGGGCTGAGCAGCACAGCAGCTCCTCTGCTCCCAGCACACTCGGACACTTCAATGACCCGGAGCCCAGGCAGAGCAAACAGCCTGTCTGCCCACAGAACAGCACTGACATTGTCATCACCACAATTAAGGACTCAGGAAAACCACAATGGAGTTTGCTTTCATGCACCATCACTGTTTGAGATCATTTAACATGTTGTGTAACTGCCCAGCTACAGCACAGGAGTCATACATGTGGATTAAATTCAATTAATTTCTGTGCTGTAAAAGACAAAACAAACCAGCCAGTTCTGCTGTAACAAGTCTTTGAGTGCTGACTCTGACCACGGGAGGGGTTTCTCCTCCTCTTCTGCTTACAGAAATAGAGATGATAAATGAGGTAGAAGGTAGGCAGAATACTCATTCAAGGAGAAGTTTTCCTTCTCTTAACCTGCCAGACAACATTCTTCGATCATTGTTTTTATCTGCACATCAGAACCTTAAATTCATCATACTCAATATTCATCAATGTCAACAGAAAGTGAAGGGGAGCAGAAAGTCAAATGGAACCTTTACAAACACCTGCAGTCTGGGAAGTGGGGAGAGCTCAGTGAGCACCCCAGTATTTCTCAAAACAGAAAGTTGTAACTACCTTACACAAAACAACCCAAAAACTACTGTAAGATTTCAACTTATTAAAGAAGTTTCCACCCACACACAGAAATGCAAAATTTACTTTTATGCTAATTTTCTTCAGTTTCAGTACCATGTAATTTCCCACAGTAGACAGCACACACTTTCTTAGGTGCCATAGTAACAGTGGTATCTGTTTTGCTTACTCCAACATCTAGCTCTTTTTTTACTACAAACCCTGAAAAAACTAGATAAATTAGCATTTCTTTTATGTTCAGGAAAGATTAAGTCATTCATCTTTGCTCAGCTCCAAAGCAGATTATGTCTTTTATTAATAGAAATGCCTATACCAGGACATACTCTTTGAAGAAGCTTTATGGTTGTTTTTTTCTTACAGTGGGTTATACACTACTCCCATGTAGGAAATACAACGCATGAGGAAGAGTTTTCTATAAGCCATCAAATTCTGCACAGCAGGGCTGATGTAGGTTTGAGGCACATCCTATCTCCTTCCTAGAAATTATTTAGCCAAGACATCTTTGAGCAGACAGCAATTAATTTTCAGCTAGGAACTCCAGCTGGACTTAGTGAAGCACAAGAACATCACGTGAGCTGCCCAAAGCCACCGTGTGCAGGAACTGGAATATCCATATGGCCCTGAGATCTCTGGAGCAACTCCCACCTGCTTCTAGCTCAGACAAAGTCTGGAGCCTGCAGCCAGGCAAACATACAGATGGGAATTTGCTGCCTCAGAAGTTTCTTGCCTTCTCCTGGAAGGCCG